TTTCACATACAGACACAGAAACACATGGATTTCCTTTCCTCCTTCCAACAGAAAGAGCAAAAAAAATTGTAAGGAGACTAAGGTGATACGAATTTTGGAAATGATTTGGATAAAGTACTTCAGATTTTAAGTAATCCAGAGATTAAGATTAATCCAACTCGGGAAGCAGCACTTTTAGGTTGAGATAGATACATGAAAAAGCTAAGTTGCTTTAAATGATGCTGATCGCACCCGTCTGAGATTCTTTCACAACATTTTGGAAGCAAGAAGAGCCTTGACGGAGATACGAAAAGGGGAAGGATACTGGTTGCCAGTAAGGAAAAGGAAAGAGGAAGAGAGGGTCCAACTGGGTGAGGTTGCAATGAGACAGAAGAGGTACCTGGATGGGGTAAGGAAAGAGATGAAGCCTCTGTTTAGATGTTATAAAATGGGTTGAATTCCCCAGGGAAGCAACAAGTGAAACCCTGACTATGTTGTTGTGGATTAGTCCCCAGTACAACCTGAAAGGAAAAAAACCCAAAACCTTAGCATGGCAATTTTATGCCTGGTGAATGTTATACTTGATGCACTTTATACCTTACTAAAAAAGATACTACCAACCCAACAAAGCCTTGTCCAGAGACTTACCATTTCCACAAAAGTCGTCCTTTCTCATTTATGCTGTTATTTCTCATTTGTGCTGTTCAAGTGTGTTTGCGTTTGCATCTACTAGTCCACTGCTCTGATAGATTGTTAGCTTTATTTTTGAACAATTCTACATCACCCAGACACAATGTTTGAGTTGGGTGGCCATATGAATTATTTAAAAACTAACTAATTAACAAATTGTGTAGGTAGGTTAAACTCATGTATGAATATACACGTATGAATATATCTGTTTATATATTTCAGGACAAAAAAAATTAAGTGAAACTTTCAAAACTTGATGATGGATAGATGGAAGAAAACATCATCCAAGGAAAACATTTTTTTCCTAAATTAATTCTGAGAATTCAGAGTCTAAATTTAGTAATATATTGCCATGACTGTGGGAAAAATATATATAGCAAGCATCTGTTTTAAAGAGCTATTTTTAATAATAATCTAATTATTCATGGAGAACTCACCAGCTGAATTAAAGTGGGATAAATGCTGGCCCTTATGTTTAAATCCCTAATGTGTATTTGAGGTTTAGAAACTCCACATTTTTGATTATATACAGGCAATTTGTTTTATTATGTGGCATTAAGTCAGTGTCAATTCTTAGCGATCACATAGATTTTTTTCATGACAATCTTCCCCTAATCTGGGTCCTTCAGAATTTCCAGTGATATACTTAGCACCAATGTAGCTTGAGTTCATGCATGTTGCTATTGATTATTCTCTTATCTTTTCTTTACTATTCTGAGCAAGAGAATATTCTCCAGAGAATTAGGTCTTCACTTAATGTGTCCAAATTATGATATTTAATGTCTGGTCATTTGTATTGCAAATGAGAATTCCAGGTTTTGTTTTCTTGGCTGTCCACTATTCTCAGGAGCCTTCTCCAATATCAAGACTTCGAAAACCTCAATGTTATTTTTTCCCCTTTATGTTAGCGTGTATTTTAATGTTTGATGTTGAAATTTAATAAAGAGATTGCAAAAAAAAAAAAAAAAGAGTCTCTTTCCTATCCTGCTAATTTTAAAATCCAACTTTCAATCTCATAGTACCATAGAAAATAGTATTGGCCGTATTATTCTGATCCTTGTAGGTATAGACCCATCATAGTATTGGAATATGTTTTCCAAAGCCTTCATGACCACTCCACCAAGTGCTAGTCTGCAGCATATTTCTTGACTACAGGTAGTCCTCGACTTACAACAGTTCGTTTAGTGACCATTTGAAGTTACAAGGGCACTGAAAAAGGTGACATGACCAATTTTCACACTTATGACCATCTCCATGGTTATGTGATCCAAATTCAGGTGCTCGGCAACGGATTCGTTTATGACAGTTGCAATGTCCCAGTCTCATGTGATCTCCTTTTATGACCTTCTGACAAACAAAGGCAACGGGGAAGCCAGATTCACTTTACAACGGTGTCACTAATTTAACAACTGCAGTTATTAACCTAGTAACTATCGCAAGAAAGATCGTAAAATGGGACAAAACTCAATTATTTAATTTAACAACAGGAAGTTTGGGCTCAATTGTGGTCATAAGTCAAGGACTACCTGAACTTCACTGAAATACATGGATTGCTTTTTCTGTAAGGCATTCAGCTTTTCGTGGAGAAAAAACATGGAGCATTCAATGTCCACACTCTGAGCACGCAGAGCTATTCCTTGTTGGTTTGTTCAAGTACACAGAGTAAGGAAAAACAAGAAAGTCCAGTTTGCCACCTACAAAAGCAGCTTTGGGACAATCATCACCTGGGTGACTGAGAATCTCTACAGACGGAATAAGCGGGAAATGTGAATTTTGGGTTTGGTTCTAATGTCGGGCAAATACAGTCTAAAGCAACTAGAGAATACTCCTGCCCCAATCCTAAAATATAACTATACCCACAGTATTGCAATGGTTCTCTGCCAGATATCCCTGGAATAAATGGCAAATTTATTTTGATAAATTTTGACAACAAATGGTCAAAATTGGGAGCATCATATCAAATTCTGTACCTGTCAACAGTGGTGTCTCCCAAGGCAGTGTTCTAGGACCAACTCTTTTCATACTCTACATAAATGACCTCTGTGATATCAAGAGCAACTGTGTTCTCTTCGCTGACGATGTAAAGCTATTCAACACCACAGACAATACTGCTACCATTCAAAAAGACCTTGAATATGTATCAGAATGGTCAAACAAATGGCAACTTCAAATCTCAACAAATAAATGCTCTGTCCTACATATTGGCAAAAAAATCAGAAAATAAAATACAGGCTGAATAGTCAAGACCTTGTTGATGATCCAAACTCTGTCAAGGATCTTGGAGTACTCATCTCTAATGACCTAACTGCTAGAGCCCACTGTAACTACATAGCCAAAAAGGCGTTAAGAGTTGTTAACCTAATCTTATGTAGCTTTTTCTCTGGTAATATTACACTAATAACTAGAGCATACAAAACATTTGCTAGACTAATATAGGTCATCAGTCTGGAACCCACATTACGTATCTGGTATTAACACAGTTGAGAAAGTCCAGAAATATTTCACAAGAAGAGTTCTCCACTCCTCTACTTGTTGCAGAATACCTTATGCCACCAGACTCGAAATTCTAGACCTAGAAAACCTACAACTACGCCGCCTTCGGTCCAATCTAAGTATAGTATATAAAATCATACATTGCAATGTCCTACCTGTCAATGAATACTTCAGCTTCAACCATAACAACACAAGAGCAAACAACACGTACAAACGTGTTAATCGCGCCAAACTTGATTGCAGGAAATACGACTTCAGCAACAGAGTGGTCAATGTCTGGAATACTCTACCTGACTCTGCGGTTTCTTTCCCAAACCCCAAAGACTTTAATCTTAAACTGTCTACTACTGACCTCACCCCTTTCCTAAGAGGTCTGTAGGGGGCGTGCATAAGTGCAACAACGTGCCTACCGTCCCTGTCCTATTTTTTTTATTTTTTTTATTTTTCTTATATGTAACCATGTATTCAAAACTGTTTTTTTACTTATATCTATTATCTTGTAAGCAATTGACAAAAATAAATAAATAAAATTTAAAAATAAATAATCACCCTGAATCCCCTTGCGAAGCAAAGCTGCATTCTCAGTACACCAAACTGCATGCTGCATGCATGCCCGGAAGCCTGCAGGCATGTTGCAGACATGTTGATTCATCTCTGCCACGTAATTCACCTCTTTTTACAAATGCCAGTTGCACATATACAGCTATGTGCAAATTCAGATTAACAAAGTTCTTCCCTTTTTTCTAGCTTGGAGTTTATTTCACAATCAGACAGAAAGAGCTGGACCACAGTAGGGAACATTGGGATGTTACAGTTCTCAGAATTAACCATTTCCGGGGGCCAAAAAAGAAAATTTTAAGTAAAGGAGAACCAGAAGAAAAACATTTTTTCAAGGATCTGGTTTGCCTTATTAGAAATAGATACATGTTTAGGCAACAATCTGCAATTAAACATTTAACTTTGGTAGTTTTCTATGTAAGTGTTAAATCTTTTCATTTATTTTCCTTTTACTTGCTTCATTCCAACTGGATCCCTTTCCTCTTTCTTTTTCTTTTTTAAAAAATTAAAAAAATTAATGACCACAAAAGTAAGTACAGGTACTCTTTTGTTATTTTTATTTTCTGGAACAAAATGATGCTTCTTCCAAGAAACGTTTCCTGGATCCCTTCCTGGATCAGACAATTCAATCTGAAATTTTAATATCTGATCTGGCAGGCACTTCTTTGCTTTGTTTTTAGCACTGTCTAATGAGAATGAGAACCCATGTAATTTGATAGGCTTGGCCAAGGGAATTATGGGAAATTGAGGACAGGGGCAAAGACGCTAGCCTGGAGGAGACCAAGTTAAAAAAAAAAACAGGAACCAACCGGGTGAAAGTTGACAAAACAAGTATCCAATTACAAAGACCACGCGTTTATGCTAAGCATGGAGAAACATGTCCTTTTTAAAGAACTGGTTGAGTAATCGGAAAAGTTACCAGTTGGGCAAGACTTTAGCGGAAAAGCCATGTTTGAGGATTGCTGTTTGTGTGTTTGTTTGTTTGTTTGTTTGAAGCTGCTACGGGCAGGAAGGATCAGCCGTGAGCGTTTGCTGTTTCATTTCTTTCGTCTCCGGGACTAACAATCCAGGGAGAGGTGGAAGGGTTGGGAAGACTTTGGCGAGATGAGCGTCCCCAGAACCGGGCCGCAAACTCGAAGCCACAGGTCTCCAAACTTGGCAACTTTAAGACTTGTGGACTTCAACTCCCAGAGAATTCTCCAGCCAGCTGGAGTTGAAATCCACAAGTCTTAAAGTTGCCAAGTTTGGGGATCCCTGCTGTAAGCGCTGAAGACCCGAGCCGCGCTATGCAAATTCGGAGGGGGTGTGAGACGTCCTTTTGCCCCACCCTTATTGGGCCGGGCAGCCGATCGATCACTGGGAGGGCGAAAAATATCGCCAGCTGCTGGACGGGAGCATAGGCGGTGCTGAACAAATGGAATATCGACTTGACCCAACATAGGGAGTCCCTCTTCTCTGTTCGATCGAACGGCCCGGACAGGTAAGCGAGCCCATCGTCTGTCTCTGGCTCCGTTCTCTATGAGAGAGAGAGAGAGAGAGAGAGATTTGTAACACTAGCAAAACTCTCTCTCTCTCTCTCTCTCTCTCTCTCTTCAGTGGGAGTAGAGTATAGCCTCAGGAGGATCTGTAAGCAGTGCTTCTGAGCGTTCCCAGAGTACTTTGCTTTTGCCGCCCTGCTCAGTAATATTAAAAATATTTCTGCTTTCATCTCTCTCTCTCTCTCTCTCTCCCACCCTCCCTCCCTCAAAAGATGAATGATAAAATTTTGGGTTTTGCTTTCAGAGCACAAGTATTCACATAATACATTTTTCCATCCTATCACTGTTTAATCAATTTACCCATTTTGGAGTTCACTGTTACACCCAGAACCATTAACTGGCTGTTAAAGAGTGGAATGCTTGGCTAGTTGTGGTTTGTTCATTTTGGTCAGCCCCTGGGGATCCAGGAAACTTCAGAAACAAAACTCTGTTTCTTAAAAACGATCAATAATCATTGAATTATTTTGCAACTGTGAATTCCTAAAAGGAAATTGTTGCAACACAGCAGTTTAAACAACTCTGTCCTGTTAGTTGAATGTCATTTGGCCTGGGTTAAATACACATTTGTGAATTTTGCAATCTTTTGTCCTTTTGTATAAAGTCCACAAAACCAGATTTCCAGGTTTTATTAATGAAATGGGTAAAATTCTGACATAATATATCCTGGTCTTACTCAGCTTACCTGACGTCCTTTTTTAATCTAAATATTTAGCATAATTTTGGAACCCTCAAAGATATATCTGCTGTTCATTGGTTTAAGCACTTCTAGAACACTTATTGATTTACCCCAATCTCACAAGAAGTAACTTAGGGCCGTGTACAACAATCTATTTATTTATTTATTTTTGTCAATTGCTTACAAGATAATAGGTAGAAGTAAAAATATAGTTATGAATACATGGATACATGTAAGAAAAATAAAAAAAATAAAAGAAACAATAGAACAGGGACAGTAAGCACGTTGGTGCGCTTATGCACGCCCCCTACAGACCTCTTAGGAAAGGGGTGAGGTCAATAGTAGACAGTCTAAGGTTAAAGTTTTTGGGGGTTGGGAAAGAAACCGCAGAGTCAGGTAGAGTATTCCAGACATTGACCACTCTGTTGCTGAAGTTGTATTTCCTGCAATCAAGTTTGGTGCGGTTAACCTTGAGTTTGTATCTATTGTGTGCTCTTGCGTTGTTATGGTTGAAGCTGAAGTATTCATTGACAGGTAGGACGTTGCAATGTATGATTTTATATACCATACTTAGATCAGACTGGAGGCGGTGTAGTTCTAAGTTTTCTAGGTCTAGAGTTTCAAGTCTGGTGACATAAGGTATTCTACAACGAGTAGAGGAGTGGAGAACTCTTCTTGTGAAATATTTTTGGACTTTCTCAACTGTGCTAATATCAGATACGTAATGTGGGTTCCAGACTGATGAGCTGCATTCAAGTATTGGTCTAGCAAATGTTTTGTATGCTCTAGTTATTAGTGTAATATTACCAGAGAAAAAGCTACATAAGATTAGGTTAACAACTCTTAATGCCTTTTTGGCTATGTAGTTACAGTGGGCTCTAGCAGTTAAGTCATTAGAGATGAGTACTCCAAGATCCTTGACAGAGTTTAGATCATCAACAAGGTCTTGACTATTCAGCCTGTATTTTATTTTCTGATTTTTTTTTTGCCGATATGTAAGACGGAGTGATTCTTTTTGGATTGAAGCTTCCTTATTGTTATGGGTAATTTGTTTTTTTCTGGTTTTTGGGGAGTTGTTATTGGTACATATAGTACCATTGGTACACATATTGGTACATATACATATTGGTACATATAATAAAATAAAATATAATCAAATAAAAGAAATATTTAAAAACAATCATTATCAAAAATTTAAATATTATCATCTCCGGTTTGGGATCTTGATGAAAAGTCCCCATAAATCATTTTTTTAGTTCAGGGAACATTCAATAAGATAAGCAATAGCAAGCCTCTTGCTGTATCTATCCTTGCTATGAACAGTAGGTGATGTGTAAGTAAAGTTACCAGGAGTTTCCTGTGCATTGGAGGTTTTTCTTTTTTGTAAGATGAACAGGTTTAGTTAAATACCATATAGTATAAAATACATATGACTTGGGTTTTGATTAGTCACTTGCTCTCATGGATTACTGCTGATAATAGGAACTGCATGGGTGGAAATGATTCAGAAATTAGAAAAGAGTTATTTCTTTCATTCCCCTTCTCCTACTTCTCGAGTCAGTGCCAACCCTTCAGGGTAGACCAGACTAGGAAAACAATACCATGTAAGTTAGTAGTACCTTTATTGTAAAGTTATAGTAACAATCTTACAAGTTGGAAAGCACTTCCCCGTTCCCTTTATTTTCATGTGAACTAGGAGAAGCTTGGCCGTTGTATCTGACCTCTTTCTCCTAGTGACTCTTTCTCCTGTCCTTAAAGCCATTCCCTCTGCCCTCTTCTGTCAAAGGTGAACGGTCTAATGGCCCACAGTGTTGAGCTCTCCAGGCTGAACTCAGCGGAAGATTCCCAAACACTGGGTATAGCTTAGCTAGAGAAGGCTAGAGCCAACAGTTGAAGGGCAGTGCCTCCATAGGCCAAGGCACTTTGAATCTGGTACTTATTTTTCTCAAGTTTCCAATGGCTTAGTGGGCACCTTGCTTTGGGCATTTCAGGCTTGGGGGTAGGTAGAAACCTGTTCTCAGTATCTCTGTTTTATTTATTTATGTATCAAATTTAGAGGCTGCCCATCTCATTGGCAAAGCAATTCACTGTAACACTCACACCAGGCCAATGGGACTCCTCTCCACTTAGATTACAGAATACAGCAGCAACTTAGCAGCAAAACTACCAAATGTTTGTGATGTGGTTTTTCAGGTTAAGATCCTAAAATTAAAAGTGATAATGTGCCCCCTTGAAGGAGATCTGCCCCCATTATTGCTGTTAATCTTCCCATTCTCCTCCCCTCAGCCTAGCCTGTTAGGAAAAGGTCTGTTTTTTTTAAACCCTGTCTCTTTTGGCAGTGTCACTGGATTGTCTCCTGCATCGGCAAGTTGGTTGGCCAGGTATACCTTATTTCCCTGGCCCAAAAAATTGCCAAACCTGTTTTAAGTCCTCAAAGTTTCAGTGAATACTAATACAGGATATAGCTCTGTAAAAATAATGTATACTTGCAGATTGCACCTAGAAGCGAAATTGAATGGAATACATTCTGTATTATTAACTATAATAAAATGCGAAGCCATATCAACAGCTAGACTGGAGAACAATGCCTTCGGAAGTAAAAGGAGATATGGTTACTTTTTATTGATGGAAAAAGGCAGGTGCTTTGGGGTGTATTATTAATGCATAGAAATGAGACTGGTTCTCAGCTGCTCCCACTACCACCACCAGAGAAAAATATAAATCTAAAGAGACTTTTCACCAATATGTTTGTGTGTGTAGATTTTTAAGCGCTTGATTTTCTGTTGAACAGGATTTTAAACCATTCTCTACTAATAGTCCCCCCCCTCCATTATTGTCTTCCAAGCTGCTTTTCTTTTTCAATTGGGGTGGGGGTGGGGGTTATATGAAGGTATATTTTTTCTGCCTGTCCTGGGGGATGCATAAGCTTTGATTATCTCCTTGTCAGTCTCCTGAGCATAATTAGCAAAATGTATGCAAAGCTTCAAGAAGGGTAATTACAAGACTGGTACAAATCTGAGTGTATCTTGGAGAGACAAGCAGGTTTTAGGGCAGGTTGTTTCTCCTTGCATCAAATCCCATGGCACTCAGTTGAGAAATACCCTGTCAGACCCTGTTCTGTACTGCATGCTTCGTTTATTGGCTTTAGGCTCACTTTGACTCATTCCCAAGAGACAAGCTAAGGTGGAAATTGAAAAACTCTTCTACTGATGGATGACTCTTGGCCTTACTATTTAGACCCCCCTAGAAACCCACTACTAAAGATTAGATGCAGTGGTTCCTTGTGTCTCACAAAATGAATTCGTGTAGAGAGATGGCGTCAGACAGTATTGTATTGACTATAACCTGATGCTGTACTTTTTATCATTATATAAACTCAAACTGAACCCACTTAAGCAAGCTTTTCACCATCTTCCTATGGCTAGTTAATAGACATATTTCTATCTTACTGTGTACAGGCGATGCAGTAATACTGTTGTTATCCCTGGCTGAAATTATTTCTCTTGCCCCTGTATTTCAGAGAGGCAGTCTTACAGGTCAATTCTTCCAAGACAAAATCCTTCCATTCTTAGTTGTACAGGTCGGAGAATCCAAAGCGTGGGCCCATTAGAAAAATGGAGGCATTGTTCACTTCATCTAGACTGAGCTCATTGAGACAAAAGGTTTCATCATCAATGACAGACAGATGGATCAGGACATGTATCACAAAAGCTTATGAAAGCCAATCATTGCAGTTGTCTCCTGCTTCCTTGCTTAAAGACGGAGTCAATCGAAGTTTAGTCCAGCCCCCTTTCCACTGCGCATGCCCAGTTTTTGATGAAGGCTGATGATTGACTTGGAGAGTTCCTGGTACTTTTTCTTGACCATTCCGTGCTTGGGACTTACTATCTAAGGGTGGGATTTGGAATCTCCTCCCGTACAACTAGAAGATGCGTTTCAAGTAAGGCCAATGCTCTTTCTCAGTTATACGGGTCGGAGAATCCAAAGCATGGGACGTACCCAAGCTAAATGTCCTGAGGGTAGGCCAACTCCTTGTCCCGAGCCTCCAACTCCATGTGAACTCTTTGTAACACCCTTCTTCCATAGGATGCTTCCGCTGATGCAAATTTCAGGTAAGGCCAACACTCTTTTTCTAGCTACCTCAAAGCTTGGACATTGCAGCTAGAGAACAAGTTAAAACTTTTAATTGTAGGAATTTCCCCGTGCCCCCAAATAAACAGGGAGATAGTGTGCCCACCTGAACGATGAAACCTTAAGATCAGCCTC